TAGGAGGGTGCCGATTTCTTTAACGACACCAGAACCCAGGTGGGTCTGATAGCTGTCCTGGCCCATCTGCCTGGGGAAGGGGGAGGGGGGCTGGTATTAATAGATGTTTAAGCCTGGGAGGGGATGCTCACGGCTGCTCCCATGAGCCAGCCAGGCACACTACTGGCAGGGAATTTTGAAATGAGACACTTATAATAGCAAAGCAGTTCCACAGGTGCTTTGTAAACCTCTTCAGTTGCCTTGCTCCTTGTGGCTACTCAGAAGGGCTCTAATTCTGGCCTCAGCTGGCTGGGGATGGCTGTTTCTTCCAAACTCCTCCTCCACGGCTGGATTCCCTGCTTCTGGTTACATTTGAGTGTTTATTGTATGCATTATTTATTTGACTGCATGGGGTGTTAGTTGTGGCACATGGGCTTCTCTCTGAGGCACTCGGACTCAGTAGTTGCAGTGTGTATGCATGTGGAATCTTAGTTGCTGGACCAGTGATAGAATCCACGTCCCCTGCATTGTAAGGCAGATTCTCAATCACTGGACCACCAGGGACGTCCCCAGGTTACATTTACAGGAGTGTCTTTTGCTTGGAGCTGAGCCAAGAGCTGGACCACGTGGAGGGACTCGGCCGGGAAAGCTGTGCATGGGATGGGACTGTGGAGGAAGGAATGAACTATAGGTTCTCGTAGCTGTCACTCAGAGAAAGAAAGTGGTCCTTTCCCTCTTTCTTCTGAAGCCATGGATTTCCATACGGATGCCCTGCAGGAGCTATGCCTGTTTCTGGTTTCTGCCGGACTGTTTGTTAGCATTCCCAGCAGATGCAGAAAGAAAAGAGAAGTCAAGGGACCAGGAAGGGCCCCTGGTTGCCTGGGGGTTTCCCAGGCAGTGTAAATGACTTGGCAAAGTCTACATGCCTTTGGGCTGAGCTAGGCCGAGAGAGGCCAGGTGTTTGAGGGTCTGTTAGGTCACAGAGAAAGTGAAGGGCCTCCTGGGTCCTGCTCATTGGCTTAGCATCAGAGTGTTGAAGAGCTGGGATGCAGGAGACTCTCCAGGGCTCTGGGAAGTTGTGACTTGCCCCAACAGGTACATTTCTTGAGCACATTAGCCAAGGCACTTGGCTGCAAACTCAGATCAGTTTAAGGAAAAAGAAAAGCGTAGAGGGAATGTTTTGGTTCAGGAGCATTGAAAGTCCATGGGTGGCTCTTGGGCTGTGGGCATGACTTGAGGTCCCCGTGCCTCTCTGTTCATCCCCACCCCACCCACCTCGCCCCATTATACCTTCTTGCTCATCTCTGCACTGGCTTCAACACCAGGCAGGCTTTTCTCATCAGTGACAAAGGTAGCCATTGGCCCCTCCCAGCTTCCATTGTCCTCCAAGTCGATTATCTGAGAAAAAAAAAAGAAGAGCATCATTCCTCAAATTCCAGTCTAAGTACCAGGAATGACACGATTGACCTGGCTTGGGTCACCTGCCCATTTCCTGAAGCAAAGCTCCACCTAGGAGCATTCTGATTAGCGTGGTCTGAAGCTCAGAGGCTGGAGCCAGCCCATGTGAACCACCTGGCTGCAGGTAGGGAAGGGGGGGTATCCTTCAGAGATGCTGGGCAGACAAGAAGTCTTACCTCCTCCACAGTGGGCATGTCCCCTGCCATCAACACCTTAGTGAGCACCCATGATCCAGTTCTGGCCCCAAGGAACTCATCTTTACCCTGGCTCACTACCCCCCCACCCCCCGGGCCCCTGCCCATCCCATCCTACCCAGATGGAGGTAATAAGAATGCAAGTTTTAATTAGCATTGAAGAGCTTGTCTCTAGGTGTCTGTGTGTGACTTCAGAGCAAATCATACTTATAGTAATTAACATTTATTGAGCACTTACCATGGGACAAAAAATTGATTACATGCTTTGTATTTTAACTGCCTTGAATCCTCAAAACAACACCGGGGGATAGGTACTGGTGCTCACTTTACAGGTAAAGGAACTGAAGCTGATCTGCCAGAGAAATTTATAAATTTGTCTGAGGCCACTCAGTGCATAAAGAAGGTTGTTGGATTTCAGAGCCCATGCTGTGATACATTAGGTGGCTGCCTCCCAGGTCCAGCTATGCTGTATTCTGCATAGCACTTCACTGCAAATGTTTACAGGATTGTGAGTAATGGCTCAGGGCATCAGGGAGGGCTGCTATGTAAGGTTGTATGGACTATGCACTGCACAACTCAGGAGGGGCCATACATGTTGTCATCTTTGTAATTGTAAACATTGGAGTTGTGCAGTGGACAGCCTGCATAAATACATGCGGCTACTCTGAGGCCTTGGGGCCTGCATAAACCGAGAGCCAGAGGTCACATGGAAATGCCAGGAGCTCAGTTGGGGAGCTATTAAAAACTGCTTGGGAGTTGGTGTTGAGATTAGGAATCAGGGAAACAAGCCAAGGTAATGGGAGAAGGAACGCGGAGGACTCTAGCTGGGACAATCTGACAGAATCTGCTGGATGGTTTCTTTCATACCCAAACTCACACTAAGTGACTTTTTAAAAAGGGGGAGGGGCTAGTTTCATTGCATCATAGAAGTATATATGCAAATTGATGAACATTTGGAAAATGTAGAAAAGTTTAAGCATGAAAATAGTAGTCCCACATTATCCACGACCCAGAGAAAACCACTGCTAATATCTTATTGGATTTTTTTCTAGGCTCTCCTCTCTCTGTTTCTTGATGGGTGATATAGATAGATAAATAAATAGTTATAGATGTCTGAAAGTGAAAGTGTTAGCCGCTCAGCTGTGTCCGACTCTTTGAGACCCCATGGACTATAGCCCGCCAGGTTCCTCTGTTCATGGAAGTATTCAGGCAAGAATACTGGAGTGAGTTGCCATTCGCTTCTCCAGCGGATCTTCCCGACCCAGGATTGAACCCGGGTCTTCTGCACTGCAGGCAGATTCTCTACCATCTGAGTCACCAGGAAAACTCTGTATATAAACATATATGTCAGTATTTATCAGATGTCTGTATAATATCTGTATCTATACATAGGTAGATAGATATAGATATAGGAATAATATAGACATTGATTTGTACATGGTTTATCATGTTAAGGGCTTCCCTTGTGGCTCCGCTGGTAAAGAATCTGCTTGCAATTTGGGAGATCTGGGTTCGATCCCTGGGTTGGGAAGATCCCCTGGAGAAGGGAAAGACTATCCACTTCAGTATAAAGTATTAGCTCATACTATTTGCATAGTTTTCCCCTGGTCCCCTGGTCCTCTGAAATGGTTCAGATGGGATTGAACTGACTCTCGCTGATCCTGGAGCATCTTCAAGGTCCCACCTGACTGCTAACACAAGCTTTTGAGCAATTCTTTCAAGAACTAGTGGGCCATAGAATAGAGAGGCCATTAATAGAACTGATCATTAAGCTGGTGGCTTAGAATCTGCCTGCAATTCAGGGTTCAATCCCTGGGTTGGGAAGATCATCTGGAGAAGGGAATGGCAACCCACTCCAGTATTCTTGCCTGGAGAATCCCATGGAGGCTGGTGGGTGATAGTCCATGGGATTGCAAAGAGTTGGACACGGCCGAGTGATTTTCACTACACTACACTAATAGAACTGAAGGGAAGTAGGAACAGTCAAACCCAGGGGTGCTGAGTGTTGAGGGGCCACTGGAACCTGTGGGCCAACACTCAGAGTCGTGAGCCAGCTAGTACACCAGGGCGCTTGGTGACCCTGCAGATCATGAACTTGTCCTGCTGAAAGGGACCTTTGAGGTGATGTGGTCCAGCTTCCCCTCTCCTCCTCATCACCTTCCTGCCCCATCTTGAACACACAGATACATTTTCTAGATGAGGAATCTAAGATCTAGGGAGGTACCCTGCCCTGCTTGAGACCTTAGAGTGAGTCAGTGGCAGAATTCAGGGCTCCTGACTGCTTTCCAAGAATCCAGAGTGTCTGAAAATGTGTGTCGGGAAAGGTCAGGCTTACCATATACTCTGAAATAAAGAAGTGTTCCGTGGTCAAAGCAACGCTTTGGTCAAAGACTACATACTGTAATCCTTAGCTTACTAAAGGCTCTGATAAGGCCTGCAGCCAAGAAACCTGTTGAACTTGGTTCAAGGCATAGTTTCCTGAACTTGTGAAGACAAAGAGCTCTTTTCTCATGGATCATCTAGCCATGTGTTGAGGTACATACTGGGGTGAAGAGAGGCTGTGTCATACTCACTATGCAGCCTGTCCCCTTAGGCCAGCAGAAAGGATACCCAAGGATATAAGAAATGTCACACTGGGTCAGAGTCATAGTTCTTCCAGCCTGGGAATGTGCTTGGTGATAGGGCCACCACGAAGAGTGTCGCAAGAGCCCTCTGCTGAGGCCAAATGTGGAGGCTGGACACTGGATTTTCATGGCCTAATAGCTCAGTAGGATACTGTGGTCCCCAAATAGATTTAAACTTTAGAAAATTCCAAATAGCACAGTAAATAAATTCCATGGGAGCAAGTTCTTGTGTGTCTTGTTCTTTTCTGTGTCCTTGATACCTGTGCCCAATACATAGTTAGCATATTCAGCAAGTAAAGACTTGCAGAATAAATGGAATTAAATTTACACTGTCCTTTTTTAAAGAAAAGTTTTTTTGATGTAGACCATTTTTTAAAAAAGCCTTTATTACATTTGTTACAATATTGCTTCTGTTTTATGTTTTGGCTTATTGGCCCTGAGGCATGTGGGATCTTAGGTCCCTGCACCCCCTGCATTGGAAGACGGAGTCTAAACCACTGGACCTCCAGGGAAGTCCCTCCACTGGCTTTGGAGGGCGGCAGAATTCTGTAATCTTTTTCCCTGAGTGACATACACTCTTTAACTTTCCTCTTTGAGGCTTGGAGACTTACAACTTATGATTGAAATTTAACAAATACTTATTGAGTGCTTAATGTATGTGACTCCTGGGCTAGACCTGTTCCCATATAAGTAGGATCTTAATATTGTCAACGACCTTGTGAAGTACTCAATCCCAATTTTTCAGGTGAGGAGGCTGAGGCTTGGAGGTGTCAAGCGATGTTTTTAAGAAGTGGCAAAGCTGGAATTTCACCCCAGGTGTTCTTAATAAATGGCAAAGCTGAGATTTATGACCAGCACCAGGTGTAGCTTATTCATGGACTCCACGTGGGATGATCAAGATTGACGTGAGATGAATCAGCAAGAGGTAGGTCCCGGATGAAGCTTCCTTCGGATTATAAAGGAAGGCACTTCCTCTTCTGAAAAGTTGTTTGTGGCAAGGCCTGGTCACCGTGGCTATAGCTCTTGATTGGGAAAGCTGGATTTCAAACTCAAGTCTTGATTTTTGGTGCAGTTTTCTTTAATCTGCAACATGCTGCTATCATGAATACTATCTTGGTTTCATCATTACACAACTATTTAGCCTCAGATCTTTACCCATCTGTTAAGTACAGGCAATCATAGTTAGCTACCTCGTGGATTTATGGTAAAACATAAAAGCGATTTTAGCTGTAAAGTGCTTTCCCCATGCACCTGGTACACATAATTGCTTAGTAAATTAGAACTTTAAAAATTTATCTATAGTATCATCTCCCGAGGTGGGGGAACTGGCTTGTGAGGAGGAAGGGGTACCTCTGTCTGCCTACCGCCTGCAGCCTGGGGTATGGCAAGGACACGGTAAGATGTTGCATTTGTGGGGCATCTTGCCTGCCAATCTCCGAGCTCTGCCGTACACGCAGTTCAGTCGCTCAGTCGTGTCCAACTCTTTGCAGCCCCGTGGACTGCAGCGTGCCCAGCTTCCCTGTCACCAACTTCTGGAGCTTGCTCAAACTCATACATACAGTGTTGTTGTGAAATGGGACTTTTCTTGCCACGGAGAAAAGCGATCTGATAAACCTACTCATGTGAAGGGTCATTGGTGATGTTTTACTCTTCTCAAAATGGCTCGGAGCTGATACTCAATGCAGAGGAATTCATTTCTGAGCAGGGAATCTCAGGTAGTAGCTCCAGGTGAATAGGAAAGAGAAGCAGCCTTTGGGGCTTGAGCTTCCTGGAGCCCCTCGGGTTAAAAGAGAGGAGGCGGTGGTTTGCTCAGCCCACACCTGGGGCTCAGCCTACAGGCCTGTCCCTGTCATCCTGACTACGATGTGCCCTCACATGGGGCTTCCTGTTGGGGAAGCTGGTTCTGGGTGGTGGGAGGGCAAGGGCTGACCTCTCATCTTCCGAGATAAGGCACCCGGAATGCGAGCTGCACTGAAGAGGCTTGAATGTGCAGCTTGTCCACTGTCATCTCCTCAACTCTGCCTGAGCTCCGGGTTCAAAATCAAAAGCTTCCCACAAGTGAAATTAGCTAAGTGAAAACCTAGTGCACTTTCTAGAACTATTAAAAAACACAAACAGAGAAAGTCTTATGTTAGCACTATTAGTAGGAACAACCCATTTATTTATTTATTTTGAAAGCTTTTTGTTTCGTATTGGGGTACAGCTGATTAACAATGTTGTGATAATTTCAGGTGGACAGCAGAGGGACTCAATCATACATATTCAGGTATCTCCCCCAAACTCCCCTCCCCTCCAGGCTTTCATATAACTTTGAGCAGAGTTCTCTGTGCTATATATACAGTAGGACCTTGTTGGCTGTCCATTTTGAATATAGCAGCAGTGTACAAGTCGACCCCCAGCTCCCTCACTATCCCCTATCCTAATCCTTTCCCCTGGCAACCAGAAGTTCATTCTCGAAGTCTGTGAATATTGGTTTTGTAAATAATGTACTGTGAATTTAAGTACTGTGAATAAGTTTCAGTTTTATGACATTGTGCTAATTTAATTCAACATTTGAGTCAATATACATTTTTGTACAAGGTACAACTCTGTGCTAAACAGAAACCCAAAAGTGCTGCTGTGTCCTTCTTCTGCTCTATCCCCGTTTTAATCTGGCATTGATATACTTATAAATATCTCTTGAATCCATCTTTATCCCTCCATTATTGCCATTGTTACCCCATCATCACTCCATTCCATACTGAAGTGGCCTCCTCTATGTCCTTACTGGATCCTTCTTCTCTAGTCTTTATTGCAGAGTCTCCAAAGCTTTGCATACCATGTGATGGCCATTAGGGTGCAGGCATAAAATACTAGAATTTTTCTTTTTATTAATATTAGGAATAAAATTTCACTTATATTCAACAAGTGGCTTTACCCAGGCTCCTTGGCCCAATCCTTGGACCAGACAGTCTTGTAATTTGATTTGACAGGCACGCTGGAGGCTCTAGAACATGGCAGGGCTCAAGGTTGCCCTCATGGTTTTCTGCTTATTAGGTTTTTTTTTTCCAGATTTATTGATGATTACAAGTTGTACATATTTAATGTGTATAGTTTGATGATTTTATGTACATATGCACTGTGAATATTCACAACAATCAGCTAATTAACATATCCATCATCTCATTGGGCTACCCCTTTTTGCAGTGAGAACCCTTAAAATGTACCCTCTTAGCAATTTCAAGTATACTGTATAATATTCTATAGTCAAGTGGCATAGATGGGATCTCTAGAACTGATTCATCTTGCATCACTGAAACTTTGTATCCTTGACCAACCTCTCCCCATTCTCTAGCTCCTGGTAACCACCATTCAACTGTTTCTATGTCTGACTATTTAGATTCCACATATAAGTGAGATCATACAATATTTGTCTTTCTGCATCTGGTTTATTTCACTTAACATAATTCTTCCAGGTCTATTAATGTTGTTGCAAATGGCAGGATTTCCTCCTTTTTTTAAAAAAAAAAAAGACTGACTAACATCCCGTTGTAATAAGGGTGCCACACTTTCTTCATCCATTCATCCACCAGTGGACGTGTAAGTTGTTCCATCTTGGTTATAGGGAATAATGCTGCAGTGAACATGGGGGTGCAGATATCTCTTTGAGATCCTGAATTCATTTCATCTGGATATACTTCTGGATATATTTCAGAAGTAGAATCGCTGGATCACACAGTAGTTTTTTAATTTATTGAGGAACTTCCATACTGTTTTCAATAGTGACTGTACAAATTTGCATTCCCACAAGTGTTGCACAAGGGTTTCCTTTTCTCCGCATCCTCACCAATCCTTGTTACCTTTCATTTTTCTGATCATAGCCATCCTAACAGGTGTGAGGTGATCCTCCCTGGGGTTTTGACTTGCATTTCCTGATTTGTGAAGCTGAGCATCTTTGCAGGTACCTGTTCACGTCTGTATGACATCTGTTGACATCTTTGGCAAAGTCTATTCAGGTTCCCTTGTGCATTTGTCCTCAGTGTCTTAGAATGTGCTGCATTTTGTATCTTCTCCAGGAGAAGCCGTTTATGGATTCCATTAAGTAACTTTAATTAAATTAGCTTTCAAAATACGGACAAGCAACTTAAAAGGATTCCTGCCTCATAGCTGTAGATTGAATACCTAAAGCAAGCAAGGGGGAGTGAAAGGCTAGTGGCTGAGCCATTACATCTTGAATGAGTAACGACAATGATAAAGTCTTTGGATCTAATTAAGTCAGACACCAAGTTGGCCCCCGAATTCAGACTGGTCAAAAATATCACATGAAGGGACTTCCCTGGCAGCCCAGTGGTTAAGACTCTGTGCTTCCAATGCAAGGGGCAAAGTTTTGCTCCCTATTAGGGAAACTAAGATCTCACCTACCCCACAGCATGGCCAAAAAAAAATCACATGAAATATGGGCAAACATCTATTGTTGTTGGTAATAAACCTCACCCTAAGTGTACATTGTGCTCTGAGATATTGATTAATGATAATACACAGCCATCATCATAATTTTCAAGAAAATCTTTTCTTTGTGCTCATTTTCAAGCATACACTGAAAAAAAATAGTAATGAAACTCCATGTACCTACTACTCTGCTTCAATAATTATCAGCATTTTGCCAAGACAAGACTTTGAAAACTGTTTCTTAGTTCCCTTTAAAAACTTCTATATTTGTTTGTTTCATAATGTACACAAACTATACAATATATATGAATATACAAATATAAAACACATAAAATTACATAAAACATTTTTACTCTTAAGGATGTATAATCCAGTGTTTAGAGAAGGCTGTTCCACCTAGCAGGTAGGAGACCTTTTTGATGTGAAAACCTTATGACTCGGCATATACCTCAAGGGCTTCTCCTTGCTTTTAAGGAAAGTTCTGCAAAGATCCATCCAAGTCTCTTGCCTTGCTCCCTTCTAGCTTCCGGTCCTGTCTCTGCTGTGGTCCGTTTGTTAACCATGCAAACTTTGCACGCTGCACGCTCTTCCTCTGGCCCAGGGCCTTCCTGCTTTCTTCCTCTGCTCTCCTTCTCACCTCCAGGGCCACTTTTATAGGGAATCCTTTCCTTCCCTCCAGTCCAGATCATATTTCCTAAATGTGATCCATTCTCATTGGATTGAATTCTTTCCCTTCCTTTTGTGTCTCAGTCTGTAATATCTAACTATAGACTCATCTGGGTGATGGCTAATGTTTGTCTCTATCTACTGACATCTCCCAGAAGTCTACCCTCCCCAATGTCTAATGCAGTGCCCAGCACATAGTAGGAATTTGACACCTTGTGGACTAAATGAAGGCTATGTTATAGTGCAAGGTTAAAACAGCGCAAGGGTGAGAGGTGCATGCTCAGTCACTTCAGTCGTGTCTGACCCTGCCACCCCATGGACCGTAGCCCGCCAGGCTCCTCTGTCCATGGGATTCTCCAGGCAGGAATATTGGGGTGCCCTTCTCCAGGGGATCTTCCTGACCCAAGAATTGAACTCGGGTCTGCCTGCGTCTCCTGCATTGCACCTGGGAAGCCCCAAGGGTGAGAGGTGATCCCTATAAATCCCAGCTGGTAGATGAGTCGTTATTGCAGGAGAAGTCCAACCCTGGAAGAGATTATGAGCAATGCAAGACAGCGGTTCAGGTTCATGGACAGTGTGTGGTTAATTGCTAAACAAGCACAGCGGGTGTCAAGTGCCCCACTCTGTGGGGTGGGCTTGGCTACTTTCTGAAGGTATTATCTTTTGAAATATAAAAGTCACATGTGAACAAACACAGATGGACATCCTGGAAGCTGAAATCTTTGTGTGTGATACTGTAAGCAGGAGTTTGCTAAAACTCAATTGTCCACTGAGTCAGTGATGCCATTCAACTATCTCATTGTCTGTTGCCTCCTTCTCCTCCTGCCTTCA